GGCTGAGCAAAGCAATGCAAGCGCTCCGGCTGAATCACTGAAAGGGCTTGACAAGTCCCTTCTCTGCAATCCACACGCACACAAATGCCGACGGCAAGGACAGTGGCGATAAACTTTGGTCTCAACATTGGAGCGGCGGGAATGTCTGTCGGCTAAATTAGTGCCGAAATGTGCTGCAGCTCTGGTAAGTTCAAGATGCCTTGACACTTGCGATAGGTGCAAAATGCTTTGGTAGAATGAACTGATACCATTGTAAACGTACTTCGTTTTATATTCCGCAAGAAGCGCAGCACTTTTATTCTGGTCACGGACCGACATGCTTCACAAGACAATGAGCCATCGACCAACGGGTAAACCCAGCTACAAACTACTTTAAGTACTATTACTTAAGCACTACTCGCTCTGAGTACCAAGTGTATGCAGCAATGGGAAGAAAAGCGATAGGCTGATATTTGCAGTTCTTTCAAGATCAATGAAGCCTGAATGTGCATGCACTCCTGTATTCTGCAAATCTGCACACGCTCACATTGAACGGCAAAGTTTGTTTAAGCAGGCCGGATTCCAGGTCTGATAGTCTGATCCAACCCGTACCAAGTTATGTAGCAAATCCAGGGCCGAGGCGTGCAGAACGGACAACAACGTCTGGGTGTTCGCCCGGTCACGCAGCACCTGAACAGATACCGAGACTTGCACTCCAATAGCATAGTGGCATGGCAGCAAGTCAGTGGACGGCCTAGTTCCCCTGCTGTACCCCGTCTCGGAAACTGTCGCCGGAGGCATAAAGATGACGTGGAAGCACCGTACAGAGGTCAACTTCGCGTGTCATGCCATCATTACTTCCGACAAAAACGCTGGGAAATGGCCCGACGCTCGTATGATCCCTCGAATCCTAGGTCCCTCCTTAGATCGGAACTCCGGGACTGATCCAGGCACCTCCATGGTCACTTCGCAGCATTGTCGGAAGGTGCCTTCGACCCCGGTGACACCCATCGCCTCGGCAAAGCTCTGGGGAGTGGGGGGAGCCGCCGTTCTGGGCGTGCAACACGGGTGATCATGACACACAAAAGTACCAAAATCTCACAACATGAGGGACCCGTAGATAAAACACATATACACTTTAACGTAGAATCCTTAGAGATATACTTGATGACAGCCGTGGTGATGCTGCCTTCACTGATGATGATGATGACGATGATGGTGATGATGAGGATGTTGCTGACGATGGTCGCGATGAGAAGACTGATGGCTGTCTATTCCGGGTGCAGTTAAATGAAACCATATAGCTACAAGTACAAGTGTCAGTAGCAGTGCTAGTCTCACATTCAGCAGTTGCTCATGCTTAGTTTTCTTAAAACCGCGCCGGTGCCTACTTGGGCCACTTTTTCATCACCATCCCCCAACATCATCATCAGAAATTTGGGTATCGAGCTTGACTGGAGCTCTGAACTCTGAAAGCCTAACAGCTACGTACTCTCCGCTCTGCGTCACTCCTAGGACGCCGACGGCAACGCAGTTCTGCGTCAGCCGGAAGGGGACCATCTCCGGCTTTTCTAGGAGCATGCCTGTCCAGAAAAAAAACAAAGACCCTCCAGCTGAGGAGCGAACTTGAATCAACCATCACAAGCCCTAAGTTGCATTCCGCACATGAGGTTGCTTGGGGTACCTGGGCTCTGCCTTGAGGACAACACCCTAGAGTGGGCCTAGGAACGTAGAACGGAGGCGCTAGAAGTAGACTAGAGCGCAAGGTAGCATAGGGCATGGTGCGGTTCAGTGCTGAGAGTGGTTTCGGGTGTAGGACTCCATGTTGGTCAATCCGGGATGTACCGTTCGGGATTGTTGGCGTCGGCATGTTCGAAACTCATTGCATGTGCGGAAAGGTCTCAACCACGCTGGACGGTTTCACCCCCCTAGCAACCCTCATACAAGAGCTGGGAGACCTGAAACAGAAGTCCCGCCTTTACCGAAGAGGCAGTCGAAGTCAACGTGGACCATCCTTTCGGGCACTGCGGCTGTCACTATCACCATCCTCATCCTCTCGTCCTCCTAGCCGTTTCTCCTTCCTCGATAATATCGCCACAGTATCAAACCAGCAGCAGCAGTAAAAGCACAGTAACAACAGCGAGCTTTGCAGAGGTTGCACCATGCTTTCAGCAGTGCTCGCTCGCAATCTCGGGGCGGAACCTCCCTCGCTGCTTGGTTTTTAGACGGTCAAACTGCCCGAGCCGACTTGGAAGGTTGACCCTAAAATCCTAAACCCATAAGTCGCTTTGAGGACCGCCGGCCTCCCCGACTCCGTATCCAGCAGGATATTCTCGCCGTGGCGATCCCCAAGGCCCACGAGGTATCCCAGCATGCACCAGAGGGCCTCGCAAGATCGCTCTTTCGGTCTCTGCGTTTAGCTTCGCCTAACCCAACCTCCCCCCCGCCCCAAACAATCCCCGTAAGCCCAACCTCTCGTCGAGACAACGTGTTTTGCAGTCCCGAAATCTCAGCCCTTAGGACAGCTGAACCCTCGTGCAAACGGCCTGAGACTGGCTGAAAAGGGTCCTCTTGGCCAGCCATGCCGAAGGGTCTCCCGATCGAGCGAACCACCTGAAAGCAGATAGGGGCGTAGTGTAGTGTAGTGTTCTATGGGGCTCTTGAAGCTTTAGGATGCTCAAGGTTTTGGGTAAGAGTCATGTCACCTTGATCTGTCTAAAGCTGTGGATATTCGGTTTGCCCATTTAGGGTTGGACAAACCGGAAACCGCCAAGGTCACCATCTTCAAGAACAGCAGGCAGGTCGCCGACCGAATTCCTGAGGCTCGACTTTTTCTAGAATTCTATGCCAGGGCTTTTGGGGAAATGTCGGCAAAACTAGCACTTGGTCCTTTGTTCGGCCTGGGAGGGTCTCGCTCCGTGGCCTGAAAGCTGAATTGTTCAACGACTTTCGAAAACACGCCCAAAAAAAAGAAGCCGGCTTAAACCCAACGTGCAAGAGACAGCTTTACAGAGCAGCCGGAAGCTCCAAAGCGGGCAATGAGGGTTAGGAGCTAAGCTTGAACTGAACCATGCGCCTGTGCAGAATCGGAGGATTTCGCGGCAACACCTGTCGTGTGAAGGTCTCGTAAGGGTCCTGCGAGACGAGTGGCAAGCACACCCGTCATTAGACCAGATCAGTACATGGAGAAGCGTCGATTTGCAGAAACACAGGCATGTACCTGTTCACATTGTGCTGAAACTTGGACCTGCACTATTTACGATGCCAGCTGAAAAAACAACTAAATCCTGTCGATGCGCCCCAAAATCTTTGATGGCATACTGTCGTTATTTGTGGGTAATTATAGTATCGTCGCGTCGTGTTTCATGTCATGTTGACTTAGAGTGTAAAGTGTATGCACTCTGCTCAATTAACAGTGGCAGAATGCGGCAGACCGGGCAAATGGCTGAGAAGACGGCACCACGCCCACACACCCACCAAGAAAGCAGTTGGAACCACATGACCACGGATAATCACCAACAGCTGATCACCAGTGACCAATAACAGCCCGAAGCGTCCTTGCTCCGATCCATGATTTCCTTCACCTCGTTCAGGGTCTGCCTCCTCCCCTTCCAAAGGTCGTCGATGAGGGGACCTGAGATTTCGGAGTTGCGTCTGGGCCAGCAGAGGGAAAAGGGCAGCGCAGTAACGCGGTGACGAACATGATCGCTAGCATGTGCAGTGGGCTGCGAAAGGATGCAAGAGAACTGCTACAATTATCGAGTCACGTCTCAATGCTGACCAAATCTTAGCATCATTGTACCCTCGGCGATCCTCTGCGACTGCTCAAGGGTCCCGAAACGAACTGGTGGCTTCCCTGCTTCGGGTGAGTGGGGCTTCGATTTGACATGGTTGACTCTTTTGTGGTAGTGGATACTTGTCCGGAATTCTGCATCTCGTTCAACCCCTGCAAAGTTATAATGAATCTCCATGGCAGCTCTATGGCTCAATGAAACTCTGCAACGCGGCCATGAATCCGCGAAACATGTTACACTGAAGAACGTTTGAACGGCACCCCCCCCCCCCTCAAGAAAAGGAAACGTGAGACTGCTGAAAGTAGGCTCGTCGAATTCGAGGCTAAGCTCGGGGCGTAGGCCTTTGGTGTTGGGTACCCACTCGATGAGGCCACACTTCTCCGAGAGAATGACCACCTTCACAGCTTTAGAGTCTTAGGCTGTCAAGGGCCCAAACCATAGGCCTGAGGGGGTGGGGGTTTAAGAGATTCCTATAGGTTTCACTTTCCTTAGTCAGGCAGATGGGTGCTCTTTTTCCGCGGGGCTGAATGGGTGGAGAGCTCTGGGATCAGAGTTCGAGGACGTTCCGACTGAGACCTAGAGCCTGGGGAAGAGGCTCCAAGGTTCAGCGGCCAGGCCCGCATGAGCTCAGAGCCTCCCTAAACCCCCAAAAACCACCCAAAGTCTCGCGCTCCGAAACCTTGACATGCAAAGCGCGCAGCCCAGAACACCGGTGCATGCCTCTAGCCTGAAACCCGAATCAAAACCCCCCAAAAATTCCGACGACGACAGGCCCAGACCCTGGAAGCCCCCCAAGCGGCAAACCCCACAACTTCCCACAACCCCAAACTGCCCAAACGAAACTCCCAAAAGTGCCACAAGCCACACGGCCTGAAACGTTCGGACTTCCAGGTTCCGCCGATTGGCATCCTCGGGAACCCCAGGATCAGTTCCCAGCTCTAAAGTGAACAGGGTACCGACCTTCTGAACTCTTTACCTCGAAGCCGGCGCTTTGTCAATCACAGTTCCATCTCTGGGGAGCTGGATGTTTGGATGTTTAAGGCTTTGTTTGTTTTTTCTTTTGGGGGGGGGGGAGGTTGGGGGTAGGGTTGCGGCTGTAGGGGAAGTGAAAGCTTTAGGGTTAAAGCTTAAAGCCCGGATCCTAAAGCCCGAGAAGCCTAAACCCAGGATTCGAGGTTGGGAGTTCGGAGCTTCGGCAAAGGCCCTGAAAAAGGGGCTTAAGAGTCTAGTGGGAAGTTAGGGTTTGCATTCTGCCACACGTAAGTGTGTCGGGGAACCCTAAGGAACAAGGAACACTGTCGTTGATTATCCAGGCTGCAACACAGGGTTTCAGAGTTGCTGCAAATTTCTAGCTGCTACTGATGCCGAGCTTCTGCTTGGCGATTGCTGAGGCCCTTGCTTGCGGCTGTTTTGGTTCAGGGCTGGCCTTAGGACTGTTAGGACTGTGCAGGTTGCCGGTGCCGTGTCTTTGCTGCGTCTGCGAATCCTGTGCTGTGCGGCCGCGAGTGATGCCCTACACTGCACATCACTGCACAGTCTTCAGCTGACCCTGCATAGCACTGCTGTCGCGACCAAGGCGAACCTCACCGTGATGCCCCAAGGTCACAACCGATGCGTCGTCGACAAGAGCAGCTAAAGCACGTGCGGAGACTTGGACCTGGTGCACATACTTCAACCGACCCTGCAAGGCGCTGCTGTCGCCACCAAAGCCCGCATCAGCCTATGTCACAAGAGATCCATCGACAAGAATAGCTGCGAAAGCTCCGCGAGAGGCTTGAATCTGCTGCACATTCTTCAGCTCAGCAAAAGCGCCGAAAGAGGCTTGGATTTGCTGCACGTTTTCCAGCTGACCCTGCTACTGGCACGTTCTGCACTGGAGTGCAGTAGATACTTTCAACTTCGAAGATGTTTTCCCGGGTTGGGAGCTGCTTTTGGTCCGAGCTCTCACCTTTTCCTGCTGTTGGGTCGCCAGTGGCAGGGTCCCTTGCTGGGACGCCCAACTCTGGGCCGGGATGCCTGTTGGGGGAGTACCTGCTCCACCAGGGTTTTTGATGCCATCAGCTGCAGCTGCTCTGTGAGCAGTGCAGCAGAACGCGGAGGCTCAGTGCAGGAGCAACAGAGGCCAATCTCCCATCCCAGAGGATGAGACTCTAGCATCCAAGGATGGGTCCAAGAAGACCAAGGGAGTATGGGGTTGGTAGCCTGTCGGATCTTTTTTGGATCTTCAATGGATGTCGATGAGGGCGGTGCGCCTATTCGTAATCCGAAAGCTGAAGCACTGGAGGAAGATAAGATGACTCGAGGGCGCAAGGCTGAGATTGAGACCGGAGTTCTTGGAGGTTTTCCTGCCTTGGCTCGCCTTGTTTGATGGCAGGATTACCGGGAGATCTATGGTGAAAGACGCCACCGTTCAGAATCGGGGCTGAGAGTGTGAGGAGCACCAGGGTGTTCCTCTACCTTCGGCAGAATGTTGGCTCCTTCCATCGAGGGCTTGACGTTTTGAAGCAAATCGAGAAAGAGCAGCTGGGAGCGCCTGCGGGGTGCCAGAGGCAATGTTTGCATCAGGAGCTCTCGGTTTGAACCCAGGATAGAGAGGCAAGATCCCTCAAAAAGGGAGATCTTGAAGTTCGTGGCACCGGCCGACTGAAAGGCCTTGCAGGAGCCCATGGACCGTCGCGAGCTCCTTCGAACTCCCCTTCAGCCGACCCCACAGCAATGCTGTCGCCACCCCGCATAGCCTCACCCCAGGATACAAACGATCCATCACCAAGACTGGCAGCAAGAGCACCGGTGCGAGAGGCCTGGACCCGGTGCACATTCTTCAGCTGGCCTAATCCTGTTTATAGGCAAGGTCAGCGAGTCACCGTTCTGGATGCTCAACTTTGCAGGTTTACCCTAAACCCGACGGCCACGGCGTCTTCCGCGGCAACAGGATCAATGGGAGCAGCCTCTTCGGGCCAAACGGCCAGCAGGAAGCCCGCCAGTCCTGCTGCCGAAACCTCCACAAACCCCTACACTCCTACAAACCCTGTAACTCCACACAGTTGCCTTATTGAGTTTGATAAAGCCACTGTATGCAAAAGAAAGACCACAAACGATCGGCCCCTGGACATTTCCTCTCAAAACCCTGGAAAACCAGGTGAACAGCAGATTCTTACCAAGCAACGACGAGCCACCCGACTGAAAAAAAAACACACACTCTCCACTCTCAGCTAAGACGAAACCCTTCTTGCAACTTTGCGCAGGGAAGGTTTTGGAGGGTTTTAACACCCCCTAGCTTGGGCCACGCCACCGGGCTCTTGGCCAGGAGCTGGTTCACCATCACCGCAAACTCCATCAAGCGAGAGTCCTCGAGCTTTCTTTAGGGGCAATTCGGGGCTTTAGGGCTCCTGCTTCCTCAGGGTTCCTGCTTTCTTTGAGGGGTTCCATGAAGGTTACTATAAAAGGGGCTCTATATCCTATGAACAGTGGGGTGTAGGGTTTTGGGCTAGGGAAAAGACTAGACCTGAAGCCGAGAAGCCTAGATCCGACACCCTAGTTGCGAAAGCAAGGCTACACCTTAAACAATGCCAAGCCGAAGGCATCAGCCCTCAATCTCCCAGCCCAAGAAACCTGTATAAACTCTAAAGCCGAAAACCCAATCCCAAGCCCGACCCGACGCCCCAAACGTCAGGCTTCAGTTCGCACGGCGTGTGCAGTTGAAGTGTGTTTCCCGGTAGCCTCTCGGCTAGGCGAAGCGCTTGCTGGGACATGACCCGCTTGCTTTAACAACAATAATAATAACAACAATAACAATATTAATAATAATAATAATAATATTAATAACAACAATATTACTAACAATAATAATAATAACAGTATTAATAATAATAATAATAATAGTAATAATAAAAAATTTGTCTCGTCGCGGGCCTTCCGCAAGTCGCCACGCTTCTCTGCCTTGCAGAGGAAGGGATACTGCCTCGGCTTGCAAGAAACACAACCCCGCGTTGTTGAATGATTCTAAACCCTAAACCCTAAAACCAGGTCCCGCGTCTATAAGCACATAGACTACAGGACAAGGGGATTTAACTGCTTCCCCTTCTCTTGGTTTTTCTCCTTCCTGGCGTTCTCGGTTTAGGGTGTAAGGTTCAGGTTTGCACCCGGCCATGCCTGGGTGCTACTGCTACTGCAAACGGAGAATACTTTGCGACGATATTTGTTAATGAGCTTCGTAAACCCAAGCCCCTGCACCCTTACACACCCCCCAGCCCGTGACCCCGAAAGCGACAACCCCCTAAGATCTAACCCCAAAGGCAGGATTGTGTTCTTTAGCATTTATCCGCTTGGTTCAATCTCGAGTTCCCTACCGATTCAACTTTCAGAGCTGCCCTTAAGGAGTACCATTCTTGAATTAGTCCGGGAGTTGCAGGGTCCTGGGACAAGCTGAAGACGAATGGCTACGCAACGAACGGGAAAGCCCGGAAGAAGAAAAGCCCCCAACTGTTGCAGGATACTGGCTGCAATTCGAGTTTCCTTAGTTGGGGAGCTGTTGAAGCCCAGGTCAATGGTAAGGGCGATTCACAGAGGTACTTATACGTAGGGTCTCTCGTTCCATGGAGCTGTAAGTACGCCATAATGATTGTGTAGTTATTTGAAGTTAACTTGCTGCAACCATACTTAGTGAGTCCCCTTCTTGACTTGTCAATGATTGATCCTATCGGAGACAAAAGCCTATCCCAAGAGGAGTACATACCACGCTGGCTTGCAAACAGTTGTTCGAGAGGGCTCGCCACCAACAGCCCATGGACGTGGAGCACTACTTTGACTATGGAGTCCAGCTGCTGGCCGTCGCTGCCAAGGAAGGTCAACTTCTTCGGCTTCTCCTGCAACCGCGGGATCCCGTGCTTTACGAGGGGATTCAACGATCCTGACCGCTGACCGCTACTCTACGGAGTCGAAGGGAGAACAACATGCAAGTCCAGACCTCTCAGGGCTGGACAGACCAAACATGAACGAGCTTCGTGAATCGTATCCCTTGTAAGTTTGGTGTGGCGAGAAGGGTCCAGGAATGTCCAGGATGAGTTTCAGAGTTGGATCTCCAGGAGGGCAGTGCGGAAGCGTCGGAACCCGGAGTCGAACACCTCAGAGGTCGAACCTCCGAGCGCTGCGGAAGAAGTACCCCCGGGGCCTGAGAACCCTTCCGGGAGGATTTCGGAGGTTTGCTGGCGTTCATAGAAGTTTTTATCATAATTCTATCGTGCACCATGACGGCGTTGTAGGGTTCAGGCTTGCGGGTTTGGGGCTAGTTTCCGACTCGGGAACTCCCTTCACAAGCTGCTCAAGACTCAGCTCCTTGGAACGGAAGACTTCCACGTGCTCGAGGCACCTGACAACTCAGCACAGTGCGAAGCAGC